CTTTCTTAGTGCATTTTGTAGACACAATTGTTCACTCATTATTCACGTGTGAGATCACTGGAGCATTGTTGAGCAAAAATGAGTTTCAGATTTGATATTGAGAAATTTGATGGGAGAATTAATTTTGGGTTGTGGCAAGTACAAGTCAAGGATATACTAATCCAGTCTGGATTGTATAAGGCCTTAAAGGGAAAGCCAACTTCTTTGTCTGAAGGAAAGGAACCAGATAAACCTAGTGACAGCAGTGGAGACAAGGGAAAATCCAAGATGAGTGAAGAAGAATGGGAGGAGTTAGACATGAGAGCAGCAAGTCAGATTCGTCTCTGTCTAGCAAAAAATGTTCTTGCTAATGTTGCTAGATGGTCATCAACAAATGAGCTTTGGGAAAAGCTTGAGGAAATGTACCAAGCTAAAAGTCTTTCAAATAGGTTATATTTGAAGGAGAAATTTCACAAATTGCAAATGGAAGAAGGTACAAATTATGACCACCTAGTGCACTCAATGGGATTGTTTCTGAACTGGAATCTATTGGAGTGGAGATTGATGATGAAGATAAAGCATTGAGACTTATTGGTCTCTTCCATCTTCCTATGAGCACATGCAAACCGTTTTAATGTACGGGAAAGAGAATGTGAATTTTTCAGAAGTGACAAGTAAGCTGATTTCGGAAGAAAGAAGGCTGAAAAATGGAGAGAACAAATCTTCTGAAAGTGGAGCATTATCGGTTTGTGGAAATAGGAAGAAGTATAAAGGCTCCAAAAAGAAAATTATCTGCTGGGGATGTGGGCAACCTGGACATCTAAAGAAGGATTGCAAAAACGGTGGAGCTAATTCGGCTAATGGCTCCAAAAGTGATGCTACTAATGTAGTCGTCTTTGAAAATGAAGACGATGAATTTGTTTTTTAAAGTAAGATATATATCCTCATGGCATGATAGCTACCAATTGAGTTGCCATGGAAAATGATGTATGAAAAGCTAGCATGTCCACATTTACACATGGGCATTGGTTGACAGTTGATGCAAGGTGTGTGGTGGAATTGATGTCGATGGCTAATGAACTTCCTAGAAAGTCAACATTGGAAGTTGCACCATAACTTATTAGCAGTTTTTCGACATGAACTGGTCGAGGTAAAAATTCTTGGAGTTAGTGAATTCCAAGTGTGTATACTCTTATGGTAGAGTATGACAATTCTTGTTTTTAGAATTGTGACTATCATAGATGATGGTGTTATTGAGGTAGTTGTTGTTTTTATGGTGAAGAATTGTATGGAATTTTTGCCAAGGTGGAGATTTGTTAGTTTTTGGCAAAAATTGGCCAAATCCCACATTGGAAATGAACAAAGGATGAAAAAATTCTTAGCCTATAAATAGAACATTTCCCTTTGGTTAAACGTATGTCAATCACCAAAATACAAGTGGTGTACTAGAAAGTTATTAGCTATACTAGTAGAGAATTTAAAGGGAAATTCTCTTGGGGTGTACTTTAGTTTTTGGGCATGTGTGAGAGTTAAATATTTTGTAGTGTGGTTGTAATAATTTTCCACATAGTAAATATTTTTTCTCTTGGTTGTCTTTTGACAACGCTTGTGGTTTTTCTCCATTTGGGAGTTTTCCACGTTAAATTATTGTGTTTTTCTCTCTTTAATTTTTCAAGTATTTTTGTTAATGTTGTGATCTAAAGGGATTGTTGGATTACAAGGGTCTATTTTCTCAATAGGAGGCATTGCTAGAAACACTTAAAGAGAGGATTAATGCAGCAGAAGAAAAGGCCAGAACTCTTTAAGTTATCATTCGAAGATTTTGGGCGTATTTTTTTTAGTAAACTATATTTAATGTTTAGTTCAATTCTGCATGTGGCTTTACTTTAATTTGATTTACCCCCTATGCGTATCATAGAATCAACAAAAGGGGAGGTTGAAGCTTTTCAGAAAGCAGAGGAGGAACTAAATGAGATAGAGAAAGAGAGAAATAATGCAGAAGCGGTTCACTTCTTGCTCCATTAACTTTTTATTCATATACTTCTGCAACTATGGTGTGGAAACATGAATTCAGAAATTGAAGTTTCTGTTTCAGAATAGGGTCCACTACGAAAATGTTATGAAAGAAAAGGTTCTTCCTCAAATCAAGGAGGCAGAGACTGAATATATGGAACTAGAAAAGAATCGTAAGGTTGATATTTATGCCTTTCTAGATATAGTAACCAATAATTTGAATTGCCTTTATCATTTGTAGCCCATGTTATAATTTTGCAACATTGCAGGAGAGCTATAGAAAGGCTTCTGTCATTTGTCCTGAGAGTGAAATTGAAGCTTTAGAAGACTTGGATGGATGCTCAACCGAGCAACTAGATGCCAAACTGAAGAGACTGAGTCAGAGACTTATGCATGAGAGCAATCGGTATGCGGTGGTTAATTTTCGATGTTTCACTTCAAAAATATCCCAATATCTGCTTGTAGTTGGATTCCATGTTAACTTTTGATTTTTTGTAGATATTCAGAATCGATTGATGATCTTAGGATGTTGTATCTGGAGAAAGAGCGTAGAATTTTAAGAAAATTGCATACTTATAAAGCCTTTTGAGAAATATTAGATGTAAGTTGCACTGTTGTTCAATTTGTCTTGAATTGGACATTTGGTTTCTATTATATGAGGTAGCTAACCATGTTCCAACTGGATTTTGAGAAAGTGCATTGAAAGAGATTAAGGTCAAGAATAACCTTAATAGAGTTCTTTATTTTGTAATCTCAACTAATATTTTCTAATATATGGAATTCTGGATTGTCATTTCTCCTTATTGTGATTTCTGAAAGAAATGATCGGTGCCTTACTACAAGGCTTTTTTTAAGGTTGCCAGAAGTTTCTTAGCTTTTTCCTTTTTCTGCTTAGGTTGTTGTATTGCAGGCTTGCCAAAATACTCTTGATTTGCGTAGGAAAAAATTTCAACGTAATGCGGCGCTTCTAAGACGCGTGTTGACATGGCAGTATGAATCATGCTTGTGGCTATTATTAATTTTCTTTCATTATGATTATTAATTTTATTATTTCTTGTTGGATACAATTAGATTTAATGGCCATTTGGGGAAGAAAGGTATCAGCGGACACATTAATGTTAATTATGACGAAAAGACACTTTCAGTAGAGGTAAGCTATCTGAATTCTAGTTGTTCTTTTGCGAGTACTTTCATTAGGCTACTTATATATTTCGCCTGGTCACTATGCCCATTTAAAGTCCTAAGCTGTCTACTCAGCATTTTACAATGGGTTTCCTGGTTCCATTTGGTTTGACAGGTTAAAATGCCTCAAGACGCATCAAGAAACACTGTTCCTGATACAAGGGGACTTTTAAGGTTTTTAAATTTTCCCGTCCTATATACTCTTTAGAATTTGGTTTTGTGGCTTTCAGTGTCATCGCTACAGAAATTATCTACATGTGGCTTCATGGCTATTGTTTAATCCAAATAAATGCTCTCTTTTTTAAAACTTTTTACTCCAAATCATCTATAATTTAAGAGGTTATAGAAGAGTCCGAAATTTTTATAATTGGTTAATGTTGAACTCCAATACTATTCTGATGATTTGTTAACTAGGAGGGGAGCGCTCCTTCTCAACATTATGCTTTGCGTTGGCTCTTCATGATATGACTGAAGCCCCATTTCGAGGTATGGATGAGTTTGACGTGTTCATGGTAAGTGCTTTTTTCCCATTGGGACTAAGGTAAATACTATTGTCCGTCGAGAAACAGTAACTCGTAGACTGAGCAGTTCTGTTTGTAATATTTTCCTCCATGATGCAGTTAGCCGAAAAATCAGCCTGGACACCTGAGTTGACTTTGCATTGGCTCAAGGATCCCAATGGATATTTATCACACCGCATGATATCAGGTTATTGTTTATACTTATATATGCTTGTCCATTTTTTCCTCTCTCCATGCCCCAACCCCCCTTTATTTTTCCAATCCGTCTTTCTGTATAATTCGTAGAACATAACTATGTTGAGTTATTAGGCCAGACTCAGTCGGCCATAATATGAAGAGGTTCATATGGGGGTCTTAACTCTTTTAATTTATGAGAAAAAACAATGAATGTAGATAATGTGAAAAAAATGTAAAATATGGAGGGGATAGGGAGGTGATCATGTGCAATTATGTTGATATTGAAGATAGAAAAATGGTGAGTAACAAATAGGAATTATTTTATTGTTGGTACAGCATGGAGAGAGGATAAAGAAACAGCAGATGGCAGCTCCCCGCTCTTAATTGTTGCAGTAAGGCAACAATTAATGGCGGCTTCATGAATTTATCTGTGTTGTGTAAGATTAATTATGTAACGCGGATGTTCGGCGTTTACTCCGGCTGACAGATAAGTAGATTTAATGAACTGGACAATCTTGACCGTTAATATGTAGGTAGGGTTTCCCCTTGGACACCTAAAGTTTAATTGGCCAGTCCTGGAACAACTTGGCCCCTATTTTGGAAATATTATCTTCTTCTTTGGTTTTCTATTATTCCTTTCGTTTTTGTTGATCCTTGCTACTTTTTATACCTTTTTATTTCAATTTCCAATGTATTGACATACGTGTAAAACCATTTGTCTTTTGGGAATGCTGACGTGTCATATAGACTGTCAATGTTTACTTTTATTCGGGTTAGAAGGTAAAACTAAAATATTGTTTTTTTTTAAAAAAAAGTTCTAAATTCTATAGAAGTTATGAAGTTGTTCAATTTTTATTTATGATTGTCTTAATTAACAGAGAACCGTTAATTTCTACTGATGTGGACGCTAACTATTTCTACCTAAAATAACTTTGTTGATGTGTCGACAGGGTGACATGACAATAACAAAAGAAAAAGTGAACAATTATAAAGATCAACCTAAAACTAATCCCCTTCATCGTGATAACCCCCTTCATCGAGGAAGTTAAGGGATTTTGAATGTTTTTCCCTTCGTTTTTATTTTGTTTTTGAATTCGAAAATGTTGAGTTAATCGATTGATGTAATTGACCAAGAGGGGGTGAATTGTCAATTAAAATTTTGGTTGAAGCTTTTGCAGAAAATTGAAAAGATTTACACAACGATTTAGAGTGGTTCGACTTTCTCAACCAAAGTCTACGTCCACTACCTTAGCTATCCACACTAAAGATTTTCCAACAAATTCACTAATTTGTTCTTTCTTTTGAGGCCAAAGAGATAATCTTACAACACCCTCAAGAATATACCCAAATTCTTGAGAACACTCTTTCTAAAAAAAAGATTACAAATTTGCAAACTTACAAGGAAATCCTCACAAGGTAGATTGTTTGCACAATTCTAGAACAGAGAAAAGAACACTAAAAAATGAATACAATTGAGTACAAGTAGTGTTCTTGAAAGCAAAATGAATATTGAATGAAAATTAGGCTTGAAATGCTCAAACTTGAGGTTTGATGCTTTCTCTTTGATTCTCTCTTGATTCTTGTTTTTTGTGTTTTCTTGTTATTGATCAATGGCTTCTAAGCTTGTTTAAATACACCTTCAAATGATTCTGAACGTTGGAGATGATTAGTGGAGTCAATAGAGCCGTTTAAGTGTGAAAACAATTAATAAAATCAATTGGGAGCGTCAGTGCATCGATGCATACCCAATGTGCATCGGTGCATCAAGTGTAAAATTCAAATATTTTGACTGTTGGGACCCTTAGTGCATCGGTGCACTAAAAGTGCATCGATGCATGAAATGCATTCGATGTTTCAAAATAGCTAGAGTGCATCGATGCATCAAATGCATTCGATGTTTTCATAAAAATCTGAGTGCATCGATGCATAGTATGTGCATCGATGCATGAAATGCATTCGATGTTCAATTTATTCCATGGTGCATCGATGCATGGATTGGTGCATCGGTGCATCACTTTGAAAAATTGATTTTAGGCTTGATTTTGGTTCAAAATACTTTGTGAAAATTGTTTCAAAAATATATTAAGTATAAAACACAATTTTACACATTTAGTAAGGTTTGAAATTGATCTTGAAGACTTGAAGTAATAATTTGATATTCGAGTAATTAAATCGAATATACTTTAGAAAATCATTTATAAAATCTTAAAATTCATTTATACTTAGTTTGTTATATCGAAACATCAAAATGTTTTCAACAATCTCCCCTTTTTTGATATAACAAAACATGTGTGTAATTTTAAGATTTTCTTTGAAAATAAATTTTAAAAAATTAAGTTTGAAATTACTCCCCCTTACTTTAACACTTCTCCCCTTTAAAACATTTTAACACTTTAACATTTCTCCCCCTTTTTGTTAAATCAAAAAGACTTAAAAATTGATTTAAACAAGGTTTTGAAAAACATAGCCAATTGATATATATATATATATATAGCTTAAGCTGCTAAGATCAAAGATCAAAAGAGAGATTATCCATTAGTTTCATAATCAAATGTGAAATGACATAATTGGTCATAATAAACTAATATGATGCAAAAATTAAGAAACATTAAGCTCAAAATAATAAAGTTAAAATCAAACCAAATATATGTAAATATTAAGTTCAAAAATCCATAAAACAACAAATAAATTCAAAACATCCAACAACCATCAAATTTAAACATCCAGAAACATCAAAATCAATCCAAGTTTGAAAATCTAAGAAAACATAACAAAGAAACAAATTCACTCCATCAAAGGATCGGGAGGAGGAGGATAATGAGCTCGAACTTCAAGAGTGAGAGCGTCCATACGTTCACGCATCTCCCGCTGAAACTCAGTAATCTGAGACTCCATGGAGGTAAACCTCAGATCAAACGACTCCAAGAAAGATCAAAAATAGGATGGCGTTTGATCTTCTTGTCGTGCTGGTTTCGATGCAGGCTCATCGTCTGGTACATGATCGTCGATATCTTGCATAAGTTGTTGAAACTCGGGATCATCATCAACAGCCGGTGCCGGAGAAGGAGGAGCACGAGAAGTGCTAGGAGCAGCTCGTGAAGAACTAGCTCCCGGGGTTTGCTTACCGGGTCGAAAAACCCAAAGACCGGTTTCCTCGTCTTGTTTCCAATCAGCTTTCTTCAATGAGGTGAGATTGATTTGATTTTGGAGATGGATAGGATTTTCGAGAGAGATGTTTAGACCGAGTTTGATAAAAAGGTTACTAAGAAGACATCCATAAATCAATGTTCGACATGTTTTGAAGGAACAATGTTTATGATGTCTACTAGTTGACTAAATATAATGCGGGGGAGATTTATTTTGATCTTATTCTTAATACAGTTCATCAACCATAAATCCCTAGTACGAAGAGTGGAGTACCTACCTCCGGATGGTCTAAACCACCAAGAGATCATCAAATGGAGAAAACGATCGTGATGAGATCGTAAAGTACTAACACTAGAGTTTGGAACATAGGGATATTCCACATTTTCATTCTCATTATATAACCCATCATCATCTAACCCAAATCGGAAAGCTATAGTCTCGGGGTCAATATTAATATATTGGCCTAAAAGATATTATCTAATGGCTATAGCCCCACATTGAGTTTGGTTTTGAATGCATACCGCATTGGAGTAGAAGATGCAGACTAATTGTTGATGGACGATAGGTTTGAGATGAAACAATTTATCAAACTTCCAAGTTTTAAGAATCGGAAGGTATTCGAAGTCAATATCAATCATGGCTTGAAGAGAAGGAATACGCTCTTCCCGGATTCTATAGGATTGGAAAGAATTTTTGTACCTAGAGTACAATTCGTCTCTACGAAATTCAGGCATATCAAAACAGGATCCTATTAGACTATTAGGTGGAGGAGGAACGGGATTTGGAGGTTGGTTTGAACGAGAACGACTCAATGACGTTCTAGGGCGTTTGGGATTAGACATGGTTTAGGAATCGGAAAAAGGAATATAACCTACAAATTGAAACACATGTATGCAATTTAATCAATCCCAAAACTCAATTGAGTCCTCAATAATTCAAGGTTCTCTAAATCAAATCCTAATGGGCAAGGTTTTGAAAACTATTTGAACATAATTTTTGAAAAATCATAATATGTATATGAAAACAACATAATTAAATCAAAAACATCAAATTTAAAAATTAAATTCAGATTTTCGAATAATTTTTGTCTTCTTCGAAAATTCAAAAATTTATTGAAAATTTGTGAGTTTTTGATGAAATTAATTGTAAAATCTAGTTTGTAATCATCAAACAATCAATGCCCGATATAATGTTCATCCTAGAACTAATTAAAACTAGTCCTAAGATTAAGATTCAATAAAATAGGGGTTTTTAGAAAAATACCTTGAAATTTTCGGATTTTGTGAGAATGAGAAGTTATGTTGCACGATTTGATGATAAAAGCAGGATAAGGAGTTGAAAAGCTCGAAGATGTCGATAAAAAAACCAAGGATTTGGAGCAATTTTGATAGTAAGGAGAGAGAGAGGAGCGGCAGCCAAGAAAGAGTTTTAAGAGTGTTTTGAGAAAAAGAGGAAGAAATAGGGTTTTTATCCAAAAACCCGATGGATGCATCTATGCATGGCCTTGTACATCGATGCACATTCAAGGCGTGCATCGGTGCACCTTCATGGTGTATCAATGCACATTCAAAGGGATGCATCGATGCATGAAGCACAAAAATGACAAAAATCCATTTTAAACACTCAAAAATGCTAAATTAATTAGCTCTAGTGGTATTGGCAACTCATATATTGAAAATCAATCATGTTCAATCAATCAAATTAATCCTTAAACAACATTTGAACATAAAATTAATTTTCACCAAAGAACATAAACTCCCCCTAACTAATAGTAATAAATGCAATAAAAAATTACTATTATAAGCATTTTTCATTTATTCTTAAAAATGTTAAAATTATTTTAAACACTAAGTGATGATAGGTCATTTAAACCTAATTCTTTCCTAAGTGTCCAAAATCTTTCTTTGTCTAAAGGTTTTGTAAAGATATCCGCTAATTGGTGCAAAGTATCAACAAATTCTAGAACTACATCTTCCTTAGCGACATGGTCTCTAATGAAGTGATGTCTAATTTCAATATGCTAAGTTCTAGAGTGTTGGATGAGATTTTTAGTGAGACAAATAACACTAGTATTGTCACACTTGATAGGAATGGTACCTATTTCAATTCTATAATCAAAAAGTTATTGTTTCATCCATAAAACTTGTGCACAACAACTACCAGCTGAAATGTATTCCGCTTCAGTGGTAGATAATGCAACACAATTTTGTTTATTTGAAACCCAAGAAATCAGCATATTTTCAAGGAATTGGCAAGTACCAGAGGTGTTTTTCCTATCTAATTTGCATCCTCAATAATCCGCATCAGAGAAGGCATGCAAGCTAAAGCTAGAGTCTCTAGGATACCAAAGTCCTAAACTAGAAGTGTCCTTAAGGTATCTAAAGATCCTCTTAACAACTAGTAAATGTGATTCCTGAGGGCATGATTGAAATCTAGCACATAAGCAAATACTAAACATAATGTTCGGTCTATTTGCAGTTAGATAAAGCAAAGAACCAATCATTGACCTATATAATTTAACATCCACACATTTACCTCCTTCATCTATGTCAAGCTTTGTTGATGAGCTCATTGGAGTTTCATGCGGTTTCCCATTTTCCAGTCCGAATTTCTTGAGCATGTCTTTGACGTACTTAGCTTGATTGATGAAGATGCCATCTTTTCTTTGCTTGATTTGGAGTCCCAAGAAAAATGAGAGCTCCCCAATCATGCTCATCTCGAATTCACTTTGCATTAGCATTGGAAATTATTGGCAAAGAACATCATTAGTAGAACCAAATATTATATCATCAACATAAATTTGAACTCCTAATAAATCTTTACCTTTATTCTTTAAAAACAATGTAGTGTCAACCTTCACTTTTGAAAAACCTTTTTCAATTAAAAAGTTTGACAATCTTTCATACCAAGCTCTAGGAGCTTGTTTTAAACCATAAAGCGCTTTTGTCAATTTAAGAACATGATTTGGAAATTTTAAATCTTCAAAACATAG